CACCAATAAAAATTCCTCCACACTTGTTACCAGTGAGTTTGTTTCCTACTATGAATGCCGATGTTCGCCCTTTAGCGAGGATGCCCCAGAATCCATTCTCGAAAATCTCATTGTTGCTAATAAGAACTTGAGAATTGTCATGATCAAGGGAAATACCAAAGGGTCTGTTGTGATGGATACTGTTGTTGCGTAGGGTTATCTTCTCTTTTGAATCGACAACAATAATGCCTTCCTTTGCATTTTCAAAAATCTTATTGTCGTTGAGGTCACATTTCCCAGAGAGCTTCCAAATCAGAATGCCGTGATTACCATTATCGAATATCTTGTTTCCAAGAGCTTCAAGTTCTCCTCCTTCCCTTGCCTCTAATCCAGATTGGTGGTTCTTGTACACTTCACAGTTTTTAACTAATAGTCGAGAACCTTTCCCACAAACAAGAGCACCTCCACCCCCACACCTATGAATTACACAGTTTTCAATCAATCCAGAGCTCTCGTGTGAAATGTGGACTCCGGGAAAGCCAGCTATGCCAGACATTGAATGACCAAACCTTCCTGTCTGATCCCAGGCAGGTTTCCCTGAAGAGGGCGCCACGCAGCCTGGACCTCCGTTACATTCTGGAAAGTCCTCACAACTTGTCTCTCCTCCTGAAATCTCACACTGATTTAAGTGTACAGCGCCATTGTTTCCACGGCAGATTAGAGCAACATTCCCTCTAGGAAACACAATATTTTCAAAATAGCATTTGGCGTTATTAATTTTGCAAAACTTTGTACAATTTAAGTAAGTGTGGGGTCCGACACCTACAATCTGAAGGTCATTTACAATTCCAAAGGCACTAAGATGGTACTCTCTTTCGTGTAACAACAAGGTTTCGTTTCTTCGAGTCGTCATCAAAGCAAACGCTAGCTGCTTTTCATTGTATATCTCTCTGATGCGAATAACTGGTACTTCAGGAAACATCTGAGAAAATGTTTTGTCTTGGCGAAGAGTGGGATCGAAGTGAAGGGCAACTGCCACTGCCGCACGTTTCTACCCTTCAAGCTCGCTATTTCCACCTTTAACAAGTTCTAGCAGGGCCCAAGCTTTTCGTTGAAGTGCTTTGCTGTAATCAGGTTTTAGATAAAGGCATTTCTGACAATCTTTCAGAGCATTTCTTGGTTTTCCCAGTTTCAAATGGCAGAGGGCCCTGTTACAAAAAAAGCTGTGGTCATTAGGCCACAAATCAATGGCTCTTGTATAAAGATCCAGTGCTTCTTTGAACTTGCTATTTTTAAATGCATTGTTTCCTTTTTCTCTGAGTTGGTCGGCTTCCTTCTTCCTTTCGTTATCTTCAGCCACAGCCTCATTTTCAGAGGGAGGATTTCTCATACAAC